CTTTAAAATAAAAACTGTTAAGGTCAGGGTAGCCTCTTACGCGGTAAGGGAGTTCAAACTGCCCTAACTCTAATCCCCCCAGCCCTTCACCTCTCGGTGTGAGACTGGAACGCCATCTGTGGAGTTAAGAAGACCCAAGGCGCAGATTCCGCCTCGGTCCGACGGCCTCCGCTGGCGTCGTCCAGGCGTGGGGGAAGGGGAGGTGGCAGCGGTTTGGCGAAGGGTAAGGCGGGGGTCAAGTGCGCAGGTAAAGGACCTCCTTGTCCTCAACAGGCGATGCAGCAGCTGCTTCTACCGTGGTTTGCTTTGCAGAGAACAACATTGACCTCGCCCTTATACAAGAGCCTTGGGTGGCTAACGGTCAAGTTCTGGGATTGCCGGTAAGATTCTTGTCAATACTAAAGGCAGTAGACCCAGAGCTTGTATAATTTATAATAAAAATATTGAACTTTTAGCTGTTACAGAGTACTGCAGTGATGACCTGGTTACAGCCTTCATAAATCTCAAGGGATGCACAGGGGACGAGTAATCATTTGCTCAGCCTATCTTCCCGCTGAGCACGCAGATCCTACCATCGAGTTAGAGCGAGGGGCGGAGTTCGTCCGAAAACACAACGCCGAACTTGTGGTGGGTTGTGATGAAAATGCTCACCACACAGCCTGGGGAAGCACCAACATCAACGAAAGAGCTGAGTTATTTTATGATTTTCTCGTCTCTAACCGCCTGGTAAGCCTAAACTTAGGTTGTACACCAACCTTTGTAACGCTTGCTAGGCAAGAAGTGTTAGACATAACCTTTGCTACCAATAACATGTCCAGACGGATAAGTTTTCGATATCTGATCACAAGCATTTTAAGTTTGCAATTAGAGCATCACTAACCTATGAAACCGTTACTTTTAGGGATCCAAAAGCGACCTCCTGGGATATCTACAGAGATAGCCTATGGAGGAATTTGGAAAAGTTTCCTAAAAGCATCGAAACAATTGAAGGTCTGGGTTAGCATCGGAGACAGTAACCGTAGGTATCCGTGAAGCCTTCAAGGACAGTTGTCCTCAACACGAAAAGTCTATAAGCTAAAAGAACTTAGGGAAAAGACCAGGAAACTATTTAAAAGGGCTAAGAAAACCAAAGAGTAGGATATTTATAGTGCAGCCCTAACTGAATATAATAAAGAAATTAGGAAAATCAAGAGAGCATCGTGGAGGTAGCTATGCGAGGAAGTTGAGTCTGTGCCTCGCAGTGCAAGACTACACAAAATGCTATCGAAAGCTAAACCTAATCAGATTGGGCTTCTTAAAAAGCCGAATGGGAACTTCACTAATAATGAAACAGAAATATTGGAGAGTTACACAAGACTTCAAATGAAGGCTGTAACCAGGTCATCACTGCAGTACTCTGTAACAGCTAGAAGTTCAATATTTTTTTAAATTTAGCCGGGCTACTGCCTTGACGAGCAACCCGCCGGGTTGTTTTTCAGAGCCTACGAAGGCCTTGTATTGAGGACTGGTGTAGGGCTGAAAGATTTAAGGCCAACCTGGTGCAGTGGGCTGTTGACTCCTTTAAATCATTTAATACAAGCGGGGAGGATGGAATAATTACCATCCAATTACAGAGGGGTATTGACATCCTTCTTCCCTATCTTGTGAAAATCTTCAGTGCAAGTTCTGCATGGGGATATATTCCAGAACGATGGACAATTTTCAAGGTTCTATTTATACCTAAGGCTGGTAGAAAGGACTACGCTTTACCAAAGTCCTTTAGACCTATAAGCCTATCTTCCTTTCTCCTTAAGACATTGGAAAAGGTTATAGATAGATATATAAGGGATGTAGCTCTAGCTACAAGGCCCATACATTAAAACCAGCATGCTTACCCTAGAGTAAAATCTATGGAAACAGCCCTGATCAGTGTCATTGACAGGGTTGAAAAAGCACTGGAGGATAAAGAAACAGCTCTTAGTGCCTTTGAGAGTGCCTTTGCCTATGAGAAGACCACGGGCTCTCGGGTAATGATGCATTTTTTGGTGCCAATCTGTAGTACCGCTGGCGGAAGGGCAGTGAATCTCTGGTATCAATTTGATGTTCCATCAGATGAGTGCGTCCAAGTCCTATTCTTTCATAAGATATTAATTCGGATTGTCTGATGATATTACTTGTCAAATCCTTTTGGACTTCATTCAAGGCGCCTTCGACAGTAGCCCTACATTACTGTTGATTGGAGGCCTCACATCTAAAAATGTTGACCCCACAACCATCAGATGGGTGAAGTAGATGCTCTCAAACGGAAAGGAAAAAATAGCGCTGTTTCAAACTTCGATTGAGGTTGCAACTACAAGAGGCTACCCACAAGGAGGTGTTTTGTCACCCCTTCGTTTTACTCTTCCGTTTGACTAACTATTAATAACAAAATGGCAGACCTACGCATTGACACACTAGGTTATGCTGATGACCTTGTGATCATTGCGAGGGGCTTTTGCAAAAGTACTTTACTTAGTTTGTATAGGCGGTACCAGGTACCAGGGCGGTCTGAGCTTGCTCTCCTGTAGATTTAGATCCATGCTCGACTCAACCTCCTGAGCTTACAGGCTAAGGAAACACCGGTCTTATGCATGATCTCAGACAACGTTCGTCCACTACACACTTTTGATAGAAAGTCTAAAGTGGAATTACCCTTCAGAGAGGAATGGCCAGGTTATCTGTGAGGTTGGTAGCCTCATATGGTATACCGATGGGTCTAAAATGAACCTCGACGTAGGCTCTGGTATTAACGGGGAACGCCCCAGATTCAAACTCAGTATGAATTTGGGTAGACACACCTCTATCTTCCAGGCAAAAATTTTCGCCATACTTCGGTGTGCGGAAATCAATCTGCAAAATTACTACGTAAACCATATAATTTATACAAACTCTGATAGTCAGGCAGCACTGCTGGCACTGAGGTCAAGCTTGGTGAGCGAAGTTAGTTGAAGACTGCGTGAACCGTTTAAACGCCCTGGGATGTAACAATAGGTTCGTTTTAAGATGGGTTCCGGGTCACGCGGGTATTGTAAGCAATGAATTTGCCGACAAACTTGCACGGGAGGGCTCAAAGTGCACACAATTTGGACCTTTTTGTTTTTTTTTGTGGAATTTCAAGAAGCCTAGTCCCATTGATCCTTGAAACTGTTTATCACAATAAATCACTTTAGATCATAACGGAAGAAACGTTAGGAAGAATCAGTTAGGATGATGTGCAGAGGGCACACCCTAACTGATTGCGGGCCCTTAATGCGCAAACGTAACACTCATCTGGGAAACTATGTACTCCGCCCAGAAGAAGTAAAATTGTTCACAGCTAAGCAACTCCTTCTATTCATTGAAGACATATGGCTTAGCAGTGAAGTATAGCGATCACAATAGATCTTTTAGGTCGCAGTGATACTGGTCTCTTTCCCTAGACCTGCATAGCTGCTCGCACATAATAAAAAAAAATCCTTTTTCAAATGTCAACATAGCGGTATCACCCCAACTGGAGGAAGAACTTAAAGAACTGACAACAAACGAGGAAATATAAATCAAATTCAAAAATGGCTAACAAGAATTTTGGCTACAAAAGTCAATCCCGCAGATGTACCCTGGTTGTGGTCGATCGTTGAACAATTTTCGATAGCATTCCTTTCGACATATTTGTGTGAACGTGGATTTACCGCTGTGACAACGCTGCTTACTAAAAAAAATCGCTTGCATTACTTTTTTTTGTATTTTGACTTACGACTGTTTTTGAATAAAATCGAACCTGATACCAAAAACTTGTTAAAAATCATCAAATTCATCCATCTCATTAGGTTTGTTTTAAAACTAAATTTGATTACCTATATGTTTCTTTTAATTTGATTAAAATATATTCTTAATATTATAAAGTTGCATTTTAATTGCTCTCACTGGTAATAATGTCTAGTTTATAATGTAAGATTAAACACCAGAACCGACTAATATCGCACACCATAACCAAATTAATTAAAGTAATGATTGTGGTTTTTAAGTTTTAGGAGTGTATAAAAAGTTGGGGGCGCTGAAAAATAAATGATTTTCAAAGAGTGCGGTACAAGAAATAAGTTTGATAATCCCTGAAATAACCGATTAACCAAATGATGAAACAGTAGTGTGTATATATATTTATTAGATGTGGTTGCGCAGAAAAGACGGGTACTTTTATATTTTGTTTAGTTGGTTATTGTTTAGCCAGTGCCCCTTTCCATCCCATCCACGCATTCTATTCCACACGCACTGGAAGGGGTGGGGGGGGGCTAGAATGTGGCGTCATCTTTTCGGCTAATGAAGAAAGGCACCCCGCCTAAATGAAAGGTGGAGATCTCCGACAAATAAAAGGACGCCGGCTGCCGCCGCTTGCTCCCTTACATCTTAGTTGAAGACCAACGCTAGTTCTGATTGCACCTCGGTGTGCAGTCGGTCAATTGTATTGAGCTGTTCTTTATTTTTTTTACTGTGTCATCTGTCTCCTAACAGCTCAAGTTTAATTCCATCACAGGGCACTGGCTCATAACAGATTAGGTAATAGCGAGTGCATTGTCCAAGACTGTAACCACCACCATAGAGAACCACGCATACATATAGCAAATTTTGGCCCGACCCAGGAATCGAACCCGAGATTCTATCGCTCCACCATTTTCCGGTTCTTCGACCTGGATTCGAAGGAACAGCCTGTGGCCGCACCATTATCAGGTTCATTCGATCCGGATGTGTAGGGCAACATAGTCACCCTAATCATTTAGTGAACATGCCTTTCCGGATTCGAGCCCAGGAACCATTAGCGTCACCAAGACGTTTTATATACTTATGAGTAGTATTCACGCATATTATGCAACAGTATACTTTAAATAATTTTTTTAAAACGAGCTATTCATGCATCTAGAGAATTCAGCTTACCTCTGCATGCACTGCACTTGCCGTTACATAAAAGTATTAAATAGCATTGTTACATAAATTCATGACTACAGTACCTGTTCCAAATGGTCTCTGTAGTACTTAATTCTATCTTCATCATTCAATTTGTAGCCCTTAGTAGCAAGGCCGTTCTCCGTGATGAAGAATTCCATGTCTCCGTACGTTTTCTTCAGCCAACCCAACATCTTTCGAATGCCGACCGGGTTACTCTGGAATACATTAAATAGATCTTCATATCATACATTTCCTATATATTGAATAATGATACACTTATTCAGTGGAGGAGGATTCTCTTGTTAATGGAACTCTCTTTCCATCTAGAAGTTCGTCTGGGTAGATACCATCCTCTTAACTCTTTCTGCCGCCAAATGTAGTGTTTGTACTAATGTGTTCCTGTCTGAAGAGTATAGAGAGTCGGTATGATTACACGATGTAAGGCATTCCATAGCCTTATATAATCTTCTTTGTTTGAAGTTAGTTGATCCACGGACTACAGAAGACACTTACTATCAGATCGACTAAGTTAGTTCGTCGCTTAAGTTGTATAAAGTATATAATATACTATAGTTAAACAAACAAGTGCTAAAATTAAAAAATTGTACAACCGATTTCAATATAAATAAAATGGGAAAATCATATTCGAAGTCAATTAAATACGTATTGTTAAGGATAACTCAAAAACTACTGGTCAGATCTTCAAATGTTTATAGAACCACACGAGAAGCACCACCTTTTAAATAAAAAAGCATCATTGAATTCGGTTCACCAAGAAAAATTTCGAAAAAAACATTCAGTCAAAGAGTTTCTTTTTGAAGTCGGTTAAATAAGAAAGATATCTTTTATTTTACAGTCTAGGGGACATTTTCATGGATAGAACAACGACACAGTGAGTTTTATTTATGTTTTTTTAATTATTTATCGCGTGACTAGTGTACCTCAAAGGTCATGCCAAAAAAACGATCACTCAACATGGTAATGTGGTGATACAACAATGTGGAAAGGAAGGTACTTTTACGGGCTTAAATTACGTAGTTCCTGCAGACACACACTATAACGGGGATTCTCAAAGTGATAGATATCGACCCCTTAGGGACTAAATCGGTTTCCCAGGGGTCGACATAAACGAAAACTGATAATATGTAACTGTATTAATTATTACTAATTAGTAATTATTAATTACACTAGATATTTTTCTGAATTTTATGTCTATTTATTTTGTAAAATTTTGATGAGAACATAATGTCAAGTTTACTTACTTAAACAACGGCAAGGTTTTTGAATTGGTGAGTATTTTATATCGGTAGGAAAAAAAAACTAGAGATAGGATTTTCAAAGTAATTTGGCTATAGGGGTCTGAGGTATCAGTTCATTTTGGAAAAGGTGTCTCTTGCCTAAAGTTTTTTAAGGATCCCTGCACTAGAATATATATTAAAGAATGCCGAGAGTATGATCCTTGGGCTACATTTGAAGTAGCCCAAGGATCAAATTGTAGATTGAGGATAAATTTGACAAACTTTGACATTTATACAATACTAGCGATTCACCCCGGATTCGCACGGGTGATTTCTGGATATCAGTAACAGCACCACCTACCGGATATAAAATCTAAACCAACTTGTAAATCTAAACCATACGGGGACTCACTTAAATACACACAAAAAACTTCATCAAAATCTGTGATTTTTAGCGAGACTATCGGACAGCAATTGATTTTAATATTCATAGATTACTATATTATACTTGTATTATATATATATATATATATATATATATATATATATATATATATATATAAAAGTAGGAAGTAAAGAAGTTTGTTTTATACTAGGGAGAGGTGGTCAGTAATAATAGGCTATCATGAAATAATTGCGATATTTGAAGTGGTCCAGCACTTCATGATAATATGATCAACTGTACGATCTGGTCATATTTACATAACTTCAGAGTTTTGGCTTTCATAGTTTTAATCTAAAATTAACGCCATCTATTTACTTCTAAATAAATTAATATATAATAACTAACTGATGAGATTAAATATAATGTTACTGAATACTTATTCTTATAGGATCAAAAACTTAAAGTATTCAGCCATTACCGGGATGATTTACCGTACTTTCCACGTTTAGCAAAATAACTAACTAAACTGTTATACGAGATACTGTGTAGGTATACAAAACTGTGATTAAAAAAGAAACTTTTTATTAACTATACTTATTGGGTTTATATCGGCATATCAATAATTTCACTAACTTCCTTTGGTATGTAGTTATCCGATGTAAGTTTTTATCTCTATTTGATGGGTTAGTAAAAATGTAAGCAACTATTTTATAGTGCCAATAAATATTCAGTAGGTCATAAAACAAATATCGCAAATAAACACTTTGCCGTACATTAATAGAAGACAGCGAAATTCGACATTATCTGGTCAAAATTAAATTATCTTATTTATACAATCCACCAAGTAGATGACTAACGTCAAGAACGGCACCATTCCTTAGGGATCCATAACCTTAGTCGTCAACCCCTTTTTTGAGAGAGTAGTTAAGGTTCTGAGTCGTACGTCTTACTCGGGGGTCACTCCCACCGAGTTGTTTCCCGAACCCAACAAGATGTGGTATAGGAAAGGAAGCCAGTAATTAGTTGATCACTACTGCGAGTGTGATATAAAGAACAAGACCGCCATTTCACCATTGTCGACACAGCTTCTCATTCCTGCAGCATAAATTTGCATTTTCACTCTTTCCTTTATTCATTACTTCTACGTGTTCAAACCACCGAGGCATCCCTTTCCTAATTCTGGTGAAAACGTGTTACAAATCATATTAAACATATGTTTACAGGTAGAGAGTACGTACCCAGAACCACTCTGATTCCGTTTTTCCCCAAGAGGGGTGGACTTCCATGGCCCCACTGAGCTCTGGACAGCCATTTTCCATCGGCCAGTTTGAGAGGGTTTCTCCATCTCTAGCTTTACGGACTAGTCTGCTTGTGTAGAAGTTAAAACCGTAGAAGTCATATGTACCTGGGATAGATAAAATTTCTCTGATTATTATTTTTATTTGATAACAATCTTACATAATGTAATGTAACGGTATAAAAGTCGCTTAAGACGACACATCGAAAAAGTGGCTCCAGGCTATCGCCGTACTGATCCGAGTGAATACATAATTTCTATAAACACTTGAAAAAACGACGTCATAAGTTCTAAATTTGCGTAGCGCCCGCGACGATTAAAAGCGCTTAGAAATTGTCAGAATCTTAAAATATTTTTTTTAAATTATTGATTTAAGTAATAAAAATAATGAGCAAGTAAATTATGAATATTGATGTTATGAATATATTTGAGTGATTCCCAAGCATATAGATTAAGTAATTTCGTTGTGATTTCAACTATAGTGATTTTTAGAGGTGTTTTCGCAAATAATTATGATCGAGTCATAATTATACAATCGTGTTTTTGAACAAGCAAATTCAAGATAAAGACATGAATTTACCTATATCAAAATTCCACTTTCGTTAGTGGTGTCATAGTCCTATACTATTCGATGAAAGGAGGTGCATTTTTTCGCGATGTCGCCTTAATTAGCCATTCAAGTAACAGATACAGAAACAGAATCGTTTATATTCAATATGAATTATAAATAATACTTATTGAAAGTCAATTTTTTTGATAATCACTGCTTCGCAAAAAAAACCTCTGTTCTGGGAAGAACCGGCAAGAAACCCAGAGGGAATATTTTTTTAAATAAGAGCTTACAATCTTGTATGTTACAATTAACAAAACAAAAAAAATTTGAACTAGATTGGTAGCGATCACCCTTCCCAGGGGTTATTATCATCTATAAATTCCTTAATATTATAATAACCCTTTTTATACAAACTTAGTTTAATAAAGTTTATGAACTTTGTGTATGTCAAATTTTGTATATTTTCTGAAATTTTGTTTAAAAGCGTATACATCGCTCCAAGAATGAATTACTGACTCAGTGGATTCGAGTAACTGGTACAAGCTTTTGTCCGTTCCTGGTATTTACAGAATGAATATCACTTATTTTTGCAAAACTGTTTTTATTTTTGTGTACGTATATTACATTTTAATAGATGTATTTAGAGGCCAGAATTAATATATAAATTTTCTAAAAATTTTGTTAGAGCGACTCTCAAGATTTTGAATCATATATTGCTCTAATGGTTCTCTTCTGTAAAACAAATATAGTTTCAAAATCAGTCGGACCATAAACAATAATTAAAAAAGCTGAAGGTACTCTGGGTTTAACAATGACATCGGGACGTCAGTCATCTCAGTCCCCCGTGACCATGGGTGCTGGAAAGCGCCCGAAACGTCGGGAATTAAAAATAAAAAGTAAAAATAAACGCGATAAAATCCGTAAAAGTAGTTTTAATCATGTGCAATGTTCGCGTAAATATAAGATTAAACCAATTGACTAACTTAGCTATAGCATTATTTACTTCGTCGTAATTTAGTAACTGTAAAAATTGATGAAGTATCATCAGCAAATAATACTATATCATGGTTATCCACTACTACGTAAGGTAAGTCATTAATATATACAAGAAACAGAATGGGGCCGTAAATTGAGCCCTAAGGCACGCGCAATTGTACTATCGACCCGGACAACTCATACTATTAATGATGACTTTTTGCGTTCTGTTACTTAAATATGAAATAATTAATTTAAGAGCATCACTTTATACACCGTAGTGTTGAATTTTCCTGATAAATGTTTCATTGTGAACACAATCCAAGGCTTTGGATATGTCACAGAATAACCCAAAGCATCCTGTGAATAATCAGCTCAACACCAGTATCAATTGTTGAGCGACCCCATGTGAAACCGAATTGATTTAAATAGATTATTTTTATTTAAAAAATTTCAAATTTGATCAAGAGTAATTTTTTGAAAAATTTTACTAAGTATTTCTGGTGGCTGTAGTGTTTCTCTGTGCAGGGAAATCTAGTATTGTCACCAGTCTCTACAACTAGCATTTGTAAGTTACTTAAATTTTGTAGATGTAATGATGTTATAAACTGCAATTTTGTAGAGAGAAATAAAGATTATTATTATGGGGGGTATCTATATAGTTATCTCATCTGGTTGGGTTGTATAACTATATAATAATAAATGAAAATAAAAAGATAAATATGCATAAATATCAATAAAATAAAATAAATATAAAAATACATAAATAAATAAAAGCCCAACCAGCCCTCTCCAGGAGAGACCAAACGGCCAAGAGTTAGGGGGAAAGGGAAAGAAACTGGGGGGTTGAGGAGCACCGCTGCATTTGAGTGTGGAGCGGTCCGCCACGTATCCCAGCCATCTCAGATGACCCGAGAGGGTGACTGGGATTAGACAGTTTGCAGAGACGGCTACAGGAATAATTTCGGTTCGCAGACCACCCCACATGTCGGTCACATCAGCCAGGTGACGTGAGCCAGGTCCAGATATTTTGTTTGCTTATCTGTTTCGGCTTTCACGAGGTTCTCGTCATACGGAATGGTAATGTCGACCAAAAATATCCTTAACTGTGCCCGGTCCATCAGCAAAATATCAGGCTTATTCGCAAGAATAGTCCTGTCTGTGATGATGGTCCGGTCCCAATAGAGCCTGACGCGATCATTTTCGAGCACGGCTTCCGGCAAATACTTGTAATATGAGACCGTATTTCAGAGCGAGCTCCTGGTGAAGAATTCTGGCTACTAGGTTGTGCCTGTGCAGGTACTCAGAGTAAGAAAGCGCTGAACAACCGGAGATGACATGCCTAAGTGACTCCCCGGGATGGCGACAAGCTCGACAGACGTCGACAGTGCCATCATTTAGGATGTATCTCCGATAGTTGGTCTTAATAATCTGATCCTGTATTGCACAGACAAAACCCTCGGTTTCCCCGAAGAGGTCACTAAAGCGTAGCCAGTGGAGGGAGGCTACTGCGTCTACGAAAGGCTCATGTAGAGCCTGGAGCACCTTCTCCTTCCATACGGTCTCCCGGTCGGAAATGCTCTGCACTGCCGGGTCTTGCCATTGCTCGTTGGCTAAGGATAGAGGATAAATATAAGGGTAAGTCCTTTATCACAAGAAATGACGTCCTTATAGAATGGATCATCCGATCTCGCCAGAAAGTAATCACGGAGGCTGCACACTTCGCGATTATGCATGGTGAGCGCGCTCAAGAAGCCACGCCCACCATGCTTTCGCGGCAAGTACAGCCTCATTACCGACGATCTCGGATGATGCATCCTATGGGACGTCACGGTAGTGCGGACTTTTCTATCCAGGGCGTTAAGTTCAGTCTGAGTCCACCTGAGTATGCCTAAGGTATACATGAGGACAGGCATGACCCAACCGTTATATGCGTGTGTCTTATTCACACCGGACAAAAGGCTGTTAAGCACTTTGGTCAAGCGTGCATAAAACACGTCGCAAACTGACTGTTTCATACCAGCCTCATCGATACCGATGTTCTGTGACATACCCAGGTATCGGTATGTTTCAGCCTCGGAAAGGGTCCTTAAGTTGACGGGCATAGATAAGTCCATGCACTCCGAGTTAGCAACCCTTTCAACATGAAGGACCGCACGCTTATCCGTCCCCAGCTCCATTCCAATAGAATTGATAAATTCACAAGTGATGTTTAACAATTCCATAAGACTGGAGCGACTGGAGGCGAATAACTTGAGGTCATCCACATAGAAAAGGTGGGTCACTTTTGTACCTCCTTTCCGGAGCTGAAATCCCCTCCCGGTGCCCTCTAGTAAAGTACTAAAAGGGTTCAGAGAGAGGCAAAACCAGATTGGACTCAGACAATCGCCCTGGAAGATACACCTTCTTGTCATTATGTGGTTCTCCGCAGCCATCATCCGCTCGCCCAGATCGCAAAGGATCATACTCCACTGCCCCATACACTGCTCGAGGAAGTCTTCAACTGTACAGCTGGAGGACTCTTTTTAGCCATGTATGGGCACCGAGTCGAATGCCTTTCTGTAGTCTATCCAGGCGGCGGAGAAGTTCCGACGGTTGGTTTCACCACTTTGCCAATGACCGCGTCAATGAGGAGTGGTTCCTTGGTTCCACAACCACTGCCCCGACATCCATTTTGAGCGCGTGACATCACCTGATTTAGCTCCAGGTGACGAGTGATTCTCGCGCTCAAAATGGATGTCGTAGATGTAGACACGTGATGGGGCGGTATTTGCTCGGGTCTGTGGTATCCTGATCTTTAGGATCCAAGTGAGTGATCCCAGCAGTGAAGAGGCTCGGGGGCGACTTCTGATCGAGAGCATCTTGAAACTGTTGGGCGAGCACAGCGCGACACACTATGAACCCCTTCAGCCGGTAATGATGCAGCCCGTAGAGCCCCGTACTTTTCCAGTTCGGGGCCCTACGGACCGCCTCAGCCACGTCTTCAGGCGTTATGGTGACGGGGTCCATAGGCGTAACACTTGCACTTTGGCTTGCCACTACTTCCATCCAAGGGCCCTCGCTGTTGTTTACGGGCTCTGACCACAGGCCACGCCAAAATGCGACAGTGTCAGCCTAATCCGGTCCTAGGCCCGCTCCACATATCTCTGGTCGCTCCAACGATTTATAGAGCCTCTTCTGATCACTCTGGAAGAGACGATTCTGGTTGAACCACCTTGACCTCTCGCTAAATCGCCGAATCCGCTTCCCCCAAGCAGCGATTTTTTGCTTCAGGTCATCTATGCGCTCCGTTAGTTTCTGCGTGATATCCGGATATTATTCTAACGGTGCGCACAACTCTCGGTCTATTATTACCCGACCTGAATCTTGTCAGTCTGCCGGGAAGGGTCCTTGCCTTTTCGATACGGTTCTCGATTCTTTTTCTCCAGGTTACTATTTATTATTATAAGGTATCTATATAGTTATCTTATCTGGTTGGGTTCTATAAATATATAATATTATTATATATTTATAGAACCCAACCAGATGAGATTATTATTATTATTGGGGTATCTATATAATTTTCTCACCTGGTTGGGTT